ACTAGCTTTATCTAAGTTGTACACATTTATACACTTATAATTATAATCGCGGCACGTGTTGTTTGCTAAAATTCGTAAATTGTTTTTTTGCGTAACACTTAAATAGGAGCCCAGAAACCAAAATAGTCCATTGTATAACGTTTCAATGAAAACATTGTGTTCCTTATCCGGTTGATTTAAAAAAACATAACAACAGATAAAACTTGTTCTTGGTATATTGTTTAATAAATAAATAAATAAACTATGCGTATTGTAATGCAACGTATATTATTTAATTTATTGTGCGTACTTTTGGTAACTTTTAAAATTTTTTTTAAATTAATTATTTACAGCTTTTCAAGAAAATTCATGATGAGATGAAATATTAGCGTTAACGATGACTCCACAAAAACAAAGAGCTGTGTTATCATTAATATCAGTGTAGGTAATTTGGGTCCCCATATGTCATAGATGGAATATAATAATTTAAATCCCCTTTATCGATAGTCAAATTCGGTCCCAGCTGCTCTTTACTACCTAAACCTTTCTATTTCGGGTAAAAGTACCTGCTGTACGAAATTCCAAGCATTACGGTATGTTTGCCAAATTTCAAATAATTATAACCAAATTCAATCAAATTTAAGAAAGTTTGACGTTTTCTAATTTAATTGATAAGTTTTTGCAAAGCAATCGCGGTAGCTCTAGGCCGCACAGGTTAGGTAAATTAGTTAAGTTATTTTTTAATTTTTCCCCAAAAAATATTCTAATAATTTAGAACTGAAGAGTTTTTATTTAATACTTAACTGCTCTCTTCGTCCGAATGTATATCCTTTCAATGTAGATTTAAAATTAATAAAATCCTTCAATCACTATTATTGCCTGTTTTAATTTATTTACCCAGATAAGACAGAAATTATAGGATCGAATTTACATGTTATTTTTGAACGTTAATTTTTAATTTACTCGGGACCCAATTTACATGTATCCATTACTATTACAATTACCCAATATAATTTACTATTCACCTTTTTTGGGTGTACAAATGTTGGTGGCATGCAAAAGAGGGTGCAGTTAAGATGGCATTTCCCAGTAACTCCAATTCATAGGATTTGATTTCTACGTTATTGCCAAGGAAATTTTGAAAATCAAATTTGGCTAAATTCCTGTAAAGAACTAGTGAACCCTTTTCCCTTGGGAACGTGCGGAACCTGGAATGTTTAGCGTGGATTTAACCATTGAACATAGGAATATTTTAAATGGAAATATTCGTAGGTAAAGTATGAAAACGTTAAAAAAATTTTAACAGTCACCTGCATTTCTAATTCAGTTTAAAAAACTATTTTTTTCTAAATTCAATTCCAAAATTCAATACAATGAATTTGATGAACAATGGGTATTTTATATAGTAATCAAGTGGTATTCGAGTATAGTAGTTTGTGCAACAAGAGTGGATATGATGCCCATAATATCGCACAATCCACTCGAGTACAGTATGTTTTTTGTACAACCCAATAAAATCTACAAAATTTAAAAAAAGTTTGTAGATTGGGCAATTTTTGTTCTAAAAAAAAAATTTAATAATTTCATAACGAATATCCAGAATATTTTTATGTCCAATGGGATACATGTAGTTCTTCCATAGTATTGGAATAAAACGAAAATGTCCCTATCCAGTTATTATAAACAACAAAAGCAATAAAAAAAAAATAACACATAATAACTCAGTTTTTATTTGAAGACGGTTCAAAAATATTCTCACGCCTACTAGTATTCATTATATTGGAATAAAAATATGATTCAATTAAAATTGGGTATGTAGATATAAAAGTTCAAAGTTTAGAGATTAAAATAATTACAAAAATAGCTAATTTTTTATTAAAATTATCGCTTGTAGGTATACTCTTTTTTTGTAAGCAAACTTTGATGTCAATATTTTAGTAAATTAGATTTTTTAAACAAGTTTGTAAAATATTGAAAACGTCTAGCACAGCACATCTTAAGTACATCTACATCTTAAAAAATAGCTACTATTTAAAATTTAAGCACTTTGCTTAGGATAGTGATTGGCACAGGTGTCGTTAGGTAAAGTAGGTACAATGTTTTTACATGCTTTCGGGGCATATTTCATTTCGTTATCAGATGACGGCCAAACTTTGCAGTGGGCTCTTGGACTATATATTATTATGTACTATGATCCAACTTTTATATAACATAGATATATTCGCAGCCATTTTGATAGTGTTCCCAAAAAAGTTTCTCATAACCAAGTTATTACATATTAATTTTTGATGCATAAGCATAAGCATAATGAATCATATAAGACACACACATAAGGTAAGGTAACTTTAGACGGTGCCTTTTAACGCATGCGCCATTTATTGTAGCAACGCATGCAATATCAGACAAAACCTTTGCCTTTTTGTACCTTGAAACATATTATTTACACTAAATCGATATCGGCGCGTGTGGCACATTTTAACATGGATTATTTAAATGGCATGGCAAGCATACGCGAACCAACTGCTTTTATGTTTCGGAAGTTGCGCTCAGGGCCGCCGAGAGTCAGACCGGGCCCCAGGACAATTCTCCAGATCGGGCCCCGCGACAATTTTATAAAACATTAAATAACAAAAGGTCATCAAACAAAAATTTCTCCTCCTCTACTTGAATGTCTCTAAAAAGAAAAAAAGTCCTCAAGCAAAAATTTCACTCCTCCTCTACTTGAATTCCTCTAACAAAAAAAGGACCTCGAGCAAAACTTTCTCTCCTCCTCTACTTGAATTCCTCTAAAGAAAAAAAAAAGGTAAGGCCTTCCCCTTCTTGTGTCAAATTTCTGAAAGTAACAAACACCACCGCTGCCGGGCCTCCATTTGAGCCCGGGCCCCGGGAATTACTCCCGGCTACCCCCTCCCCCTCTAGTCGGCCCTGGTTGCGCTTCCACTTTTCTTCTTAGTAATTTTTGCATTTTCCTCGTGGAAGTATGACTTCAAGCTCTTAATTTTATTCAAGACTTGCTTTGGTGTTATACTGCAGGTTATATAATTCTTAAACAGCATAATTTCGTATAATCTGGTGTTTATACTTATAGGATCTTCGCCTCAAACAAGTGAAATTTCTATACGATTCGATAAACTTAATAGTGTTGTCATTGTTCCATTCCAGTTTCAAGTAAAAAGAAGCGTAGACATAAAGATAACGCGTAGAAATTCCATCGGTCTCGGGAAACACTAGGCGTGTTCTTTTATTCAGCGCTGTATCCAGCGCTTGCAACAAACCGTTCGTAAATTAAGCAATGGAAAGACAATTATATGTGTCCATGGTTCTTTTTTCCAGCGGTGAGTTCACCAATGAGCCAACGCATCCATCGGCTTTAAAAGCCGATCGATAGGTGATGGATTATAATAATAATATAATAATAATACTCTCCCTAATTCACCCCCTTACGAGTGAATTTCAACCCCTGAAGTCGAGTGAACGACTTGTGTAGGGGAAGGGACGGCTATTATTATTATTTGCCGTGGCGCTCCGGGGCGACTTAAAGATGATTGATGGTGCCATTTGACTTACAGATGAGGAAAACCCGGAAAACCTCACCCACCATCATCGAGACGGTAATGTATGGCGAATTTTTTTAATCTGCATGTCATATCAACAGAAATTGAATTTATATTAATACGCCACACATCAAATCCTAAACCGAACCATGCAATTTAATTAAAAATCCACATGGTCCGGTCTGGGATTCGAAACCCAGCAGTCTCAGACTCATAAACTTGCCTATAAATGAATATAAGCGCGATAGACCGCTACACCACCGTCCCGATGGAGGTGATAGTTAATTAATTTGTTTGAACGTGTAAATACAATTATTTAGGTAAAAGTGAACCTACATTATAAAAGTTTAAATATAAAACTGCTGCAGAAGACATATTAAAATAGGTTTAATTTTTAAAGCTATGTCAAACGTCAAATTTTTCATTTTAGAAATGTCGTTCGTTCTTATTTTCTACCAGAAATTAATCAGTGATGTCATGACATCAATCATTGATGGAACAATTGTTGAATAAAAGAACACACCTACTGCGTCCCTTTGTCTCTTGAAGCAACCGATTGGTGCGCTATAAAGAGCGCATGCGAAGATGCATGCATCTCAAGTGCGCTACAACGCATGTGAAGATGCATGCGTCTCAAGTGCGCTACAACGCATGCGAAGATGCATGCGTCTCAAGTGCGCTACAACGCATGCTTCAAGATATACAAAAAAAAGGCACCGTCCAAAGCTACTTTTACATCAACATAGACTACAGATATCGAGCGATTCTTCGGTGGAATTAGATTTTCCATTTTTAATTAATTTGGCACAACTTAATTATTTTTGAAAATATATATTCTTTTCTTTTTGTATACATTTCCGCGATTTGCCTTTATCTTTGTCTCTTTCCTAATTATATTTACAAATAAAATATCAGGTGGTTTTTGTTTTCAAAATTATTCAAAATTATAATATCACATGTATAAAAAACAGATATAAATGGTGTTTGGTCGTAGAATAAATATCGTATATATCTTGCGCAGAAAGTTCCATTGCCGTTTCCGACAATAGGTAGCTATTGTTTTGATTTGTAATTCACTTTTACATAAATAAGGAGTGGTCCACAAAATATGTTTCTAAAGTAGGCCATGGAAAAATTCACGTATGTCGGCATCTACAATTCTTCTTCTTTTTAAGTTTCAGTTTGGATTTAATTCAAAGCCGCGCTTAGTTGACGGACATGACTCGCATCTCTGTCTTTATCGGTCATGGCCTACATTAGAAACATTTTTTGTGGATCTGTAAAATAGATTTATTAAAAATATATTTAGCTGTATATCCAAACTTTTATACCTACTGAATAAAAAAAGAAGTTATTGCCAAATTATTAAAACTTCGACCTCTGAAACCCGACATTAAATTATACAGTTAAACTTTACATTAAAAAAAGCATTTTTTTACTTGGAAAAAAGCAAACAAAAGCACTTACTTTGTGAAAGTAGCATACATAACATCTGCTGGCAAAGTGTACGGTAACGTAAGCACAGACAACAATTTCATGCCCCTGTGTTTGAAAAGCCAATTCAACAAGCCATTGTTAGCCTTATCTATCGCTTCTTGGAATTTGCTGAGGACTGATTCCGGAACGTTGGACACCAGAGCTTCCTGTAAATTAATACAAAAGGGTGGGTGCTTAGTGGAATTTTCCTTTAAATCCATTAGAGAAGAGGTAGAAAAAAATTTCTATCGTTGTTAACTTGACGAAATATGTTTAATTTAGATTGTAAAAAACAATCTTTTTTATTTAACAGAGTATCCGGTGACTCAATGGCCATAGCTTATGATCATATTCCTTGGAACTCAATAGTTAAGGAATTATGGGCAATATTAAATTTAACAGTAAATAAATCTGTTAAGCCATTTAATTGTTTTATGTTGCTGTTTAAAAAATTAAGAAAAATTACTAAAATGGGTCAGTCACAATGTATACATATACAGTCCCGTGACTCGATAGCTATAGCTTAAGATCGTATTCCTTGGACAATTTAAAGTCGAAATTTAAAAAATATTTAATGTCGTTACATAACAAAACAATTACATGGCCTACCAGATTTATTTACGTAATGTAAAATTTAAAACAACTCACATTTAGTTAGTTGTCCAGTGTCAGTTGTTTGTTTGAAGTTTTAACGTTCATTATTCAGAATTGACAGTCAGTTGTTAAATATTGGACTAATTTAAGGTTTTTTGTTTTCAATACAAAATAAGGTATCTGTTTATGTTTTTAAGCTATTGCATAGCTTTTATCGCGGGCTTTGAGCGCGGCGACCGAATCAAGAAAAAAAAACGAAACCGTAACGAAAAAAACCTAACAACCCCCACTCCGACCGGCACAGCGGTGCGGCGTTAAACTTCTCATTTATTCAATAAAAGAAAATCGAAAAATCGAAAAATCGAAAAATCGAAAAATCGAAAAATCGAAAAATCGAAAAATCGAAAAATGGACAAATGGAAAAATGAAAAAATGAAAAAATGAAAAAATGAAAAAATGAAAAAATGGAAAAATGGAAAAATGGAAAAATGGAAAAATGGAAAAATGGAAAAATGGAAAAATCGTAAATTCGAAAAAGAAATTCCGTAACGAAAATAAACCTAACACCCCCACTCCGACCGGCACAGCGGTGCGGCGTTGAAAGCCGTGCATCATCTAACGTCGTCTCAGTTCGGTAGACTTCGGCACGGTGTTTGTGTGCGTGCGACTAGACGTATGCGTGAAGACTAGCTGCTAACTGCTCATAACTGATTCTATCTCTTTTAGACACAATTTCGGAAAAATTTAATTTGAAAATTAATAATGATCCACAAGAATCCACAACAAAATATGGGACCAACATTGACGCGGTGGTCCCATATTTAGAGGATATCAAGTCTCAAACTTATGTTTCTTATTGCAGTTACCATAAACCTATAGTTTCAATGATAAAAATTCCTGAATAACCTACTTGTATTATAAGATAATAAAAATATTTTAAACAATATTAACTTCTCATTTATTCAATAAAAGAAAAAAAAAATGTTTTCTTATCGGTCACCACGCTCAAAAAGTGTAACTTGAATTAATATCAAAGAAAAAACTTGAATTAATATCAAAGAAAAAAAATACTGCATAAATAAAATTAATGAATAATTATAATTGCATAAGTTGATAAAAATGCTATGCAATAGCTTTACCGCGACAGTCCCCGAGTGCCACACGTATTTTTTTTATTTTAGTCCATGCCATAATGGAATTCGTAGAAACAGTACAGTAGTTAATTTTTTGTCACTACTGAAATAATATACAATTATGATTTTCATTACAGGTCCTACAAATATTATTGTTTAAATTTTTAGTTGTCACGAAAATATATTTTTCCTACGACCACTTAGGAAAGTGACACATATAACACTATACAGGGTGTTTCAAAAATATTGGTAATAAATTATACCGCATATTCTTGGATCAAAAATAGGTCGATTAAACCGTACTTACCTATATACAAAAGAGCACCCAAAAATAGTTATAAGATAAAAATTTAAATTAACTTTTTTAACGTTGATCTTAAACCGTTTGGTATTTTTTCATGAAATTTTATATGATGTGTTAGAATACCATGACTAATAATACCGAGGAAGAGGCAATATTTTTTCTTGATTTTTATAGGTTTTTGGAGGGGGTCACCGCTTTTTTCTCCACTCAACTTTTTTGTAGTATAAAATTTAATTACAAATGAAACGCCACTGGAATGCAACATCCATTTGAAAACTTTTTTGTCTCTTAGTATTTGTTTGTAAAAAGTTTAGTTTGAAATGACAAAAAATTCAATGGAAATTCTACGTATGAAAAATATCAAAATCAAGTTTATTTTTAAATTACAAACTAATGTCATCAAAATAAAAAAAATTAATTTAACAAGTGTTCAAAATTACATTCTCCTCCTTTATACACTTACTACATAGTTTTAACAATGAAAATTGAATTTTGATATTTTTGCATACGTATAATTTACATTGAATATTCTTAAGATGTCATTTTAAGTGGCTGTATCGTCTAAATCAAACATTTTACAAACAAATACTAAGAGACAAAAAAGTTTCCAAATAGATGTTGAATTTCAGTAGCGTTCGATTTTTAATAAAATTTTATATTACAAAAAAATTGAGTAGAGAAAGGGGCGGTGACACCCTCCAAAATCCTACACAAATAAAAAAAAATACATTGCCTCTACCTCGATTTTGTTAGTCATGGTATTCCAACACCTCATATAAAATTTCATGAAAAAATGTCAAACGGTTTAAGAGCAACGTTAAAAAAATGCATTTAAATTTTTATCTTATACACCCTGTAATTATTTTTGGGTGCACTTTTGTATATAGGTAAGTACGGTTTAATCGACCTATTTGTGACCCAAGAATACGTGGTATAATTTATGACCAATCTTTTTGAAACACCCTGTATAGGCCTATGGAAAGAGCCCTATAACACACGTGTATAAATAAGAATTTACTTTCCACCCGTATGCGAATATGCTACTTTTCGCATCAGCTGTTACAAAATGTCAAACGCATCATTTCTATTTTGATATATGTAATGTCCATATTAATACTAAAATCGATATGATTGTTAAATTATTGAAATTGTTGTAAATTAGATCCTAGACATTTATCTTTAACAATTATTATTAAAATAATTTTAAAATAACTAAGTTATGTTTGCTTTTTATTCTGGTTAAACACATAACCGATTAGATCATTCAATTGACGCAAGGCCTATTAGCTCAGGTGGTAGAGTATCAAACTTTATCAACTTTGCCATTTGAGACCTGGCGAGCGAACGCGTTCAAATCCTTGCGGGGCGGGGGCAGAATTTTTTTTTGTTTTTTATTTTTTTTTGTTTTTTAGTTTTTTTTGTTTTTTAGTTTTTTTTTTTTTTAGAAAATATGAAAATTGAATAAATACGATTATTGTTGATTATTTTTTTAAATACATTTTAATTATTATAATAATAACCAGGTTTTACATTTTTTGATGAAATTATTTTGTGGTCGTAGGAAAAATATTGTACATCACTTGTGTGAAAAGTGATTTTCCACACTCGTGTGACAGTCGCACTCGGCTTGTGCCTCGTGCGACAATATTTCCCATTCGTGTGAAAAATGTCACTTTCCACACTCGTAATGTAATATACTATATTTTGTTATGCCTGCAATAAAGGTGTTTCGAGTTATGAAAACTCAAAATTTAATAGATTAAATTTAAAAGGACTAGTGGCATTTGATATTTATATTTTGTATGAAAAATACACAATAAACATATTTGGAATAGGTAATAATCTAAAAGCCTCACAAGTGTTTATTAAACAAGAATTGCAAGAACTGGTAAAATTGTAAAAAATAGTAAGCGGAGATTACTTATAGTCTTACCTGTCTATGTAACTTGCATTCTTTGCATTGAGGGTCATATTCTAGTTCTTCGTCTAAAGTTTCTGATACTACAAAAGTTGATTGTACTGCCAAACACCTGGTGCAGTTAATAAGATTGTTTCTGTGCAAAAATCTGAGAGCATCGTCGAAACCTTGTTTACACATGTTTGACAAAACTTCAGGTCTGGGAGGAAATAGAATTCTTACTATCCTGTACATGTTGTGTTTTGACAATTCTATGCTTGTGTTTGCGATGTTTATCTATAAAAAAAAGAAATGACTTTTTACATGAATAACAAAATTTTATAATTATTAAAAATATAAGTGTAACAAGGGATGGTATTGGATTCCTGAACTAAAAAAAGGGTACGCTACCGAAAGCAATAAATACATCATCTAAGAATGCCGTTAACTGAGAGCTCTGCCGAAAATCAAGAATTTTTAGTGTAATAAAAAAAAAGACTAAGTATAATTTTCTTTTTCTACGTTCATGTAAAAACAAAACTTTATTGAACTATATTTAGTGAAAAAACTGGGTCTTTATTGCACTAGTGCAATAAAAATTTTATTGCACTCATCTGTCATTTTACTACAGCGTTTTATGATCATGACAAACATAAATATTCAAATCAACGCCAAATATTTAGTCCATTTTCATTTTCTGTGTTACGTTTTAAAAACAATTGCATATTTTATATTATTTTCAATCATTTAATAAATAAATTAATAAAAAATGTATTTTATTAAAAATGTCATTACAAATTATGAACACAAACGGAAATAAATGCCTCAAACAAAGGTACACGATCACGGCTACTATGATTTGGACAATACAACTGCAGTTCTATAAAACATATTTTGGTTTTTGCATGAACGTAGAAAAAATATTGTATGCAACTCGTGCAAAAAGTGTTTATTGCACTCGACGTGTTGTCCAACTCGGCCTGACGGCCTCGTCGCGTGCAATAAATACTTACTTTTTGCACTTGTTGCATAAATAACTATTTTTAGTATTTTATATAAATAAGAATTTATATAATTTATGAATTATTCACTAAATTTCGGTCATAAAGAAGTCTGTGCATTGGTTGTCGGTTTACGTCATTTTAAACTATTTTTTTTTTTGTTAATTTTTGAAATTTATTTTCTCTTCTGTTCTTATGTCATAAACTTACAAAACCTAGATTTAAAATAATATATATATTAAGGTCGTTGCTATTTAGCATATGTCACTTAATTAATACCAAAATAAAAAGAAATATAAGAATGTTAGTATTATCTCTAAAACTATTACCGATTGGTATAGGGAATATCTATCTTGTTTGAAAGGGATTTGAAAGATACTTCAAATAATCTTAAAATATACTGAGTTGTTCTATTTAAAATAATGGAATTTTTAGTGTTTTAATCTTACTTATTTCGTAAACATTATTTTTTTATGAGTAGGTAGATATTTAAAGACTAAATTTACCTCAAAATAGCTATTTGTGCTCGAATTATACACAAGATTTTTTCTACGATCACACTATAATAAAATAAATAATTTAATTTTATTAGAAATGGGCTACCTTCTGTCGTTATAATATTGTAAGTATTTGACATAAGCCTACTCTTCGTAGAAAAAAAAATGTTTTAGTACTTATATGTCGGTAATCATTTATGATTTAATTATTTATGGAAAATACTGTTGGATGATTTAAAATATTAGGAAGTCAATTAAAATATTTTAGATTAGCCTACAGTTTGTTTTAAAATATCGATTAGCTTTTCTTTATTTAATTCAAATGAAAACAGACAAACGTGTGCAAAAGTTACTTTGGCGCACATGTGCGCCAATAGTGTCAAATTATGACAATTCGTGGAAAACGTTAACTTTCTAGTTAGATTTGAATGTGCAAAAGCCTACTTTGGATAGTGATCGTAGAAAAAATCAATTAAAAATATTAAGAAATTTGAAACATATTTGTATTTTATCAATTACTTAAAAACTCGGAGTTTCAGGGTATAAATCGTAGATCTCGAAATATAACCTATGAATATTGTTCTACTTCCTATACAGGGCTGTTTCGTAATGATGTTCCAACCAAAAGGGGTTTTCTTATGAAATTTGCAATTTGGGTGCTTCATCTATTATATTAAAAAGTCAAGAAAAAAATGTTTTGTACGTAAACTGCTAGATATACGAAAAAAATTACAAGAGTGAAAAAAGTTTTTAAATTAGGTGTAGTGCTTATTAATTTTGTTATAAATGGCTTTTAAAGAAAAAAGTTCCGAAAGAAAAAAGTCTAGAAACATGAACTGGAAGAAGAGACACCATCACAAAATAGGGTTCGACTAAAGGATAACGTGTACCAAAATTACAATTTCTAAGTCTAACTTTATTTTAAAAAAATCTGTAAAGTATTTTACCCAGAACTTCCCTCGATATAGAAATTGTAGAAACAGGGAACTCCTATGCACTTAAATTTTAATAATTTAAAATTAAAACCAAACCAAAAACCCTTTTTCACATTTCTCTCTCTATCGATCTTCCTCTTGATCCCACCCGAATTCTCACTTCACGTCCACTCGGTATTCTTCGCTGCTTTTAAAATGGTCCAGTTACACAAACCAAAAGGACAATTTTTATTATTTCCATTCAAGGGGACCCTTTTTTGATTAAATACGATTCCTTTCAGCGCCATTTTGAATTTTTAAAAAAATATTTAGTATCTAAAATATTTGGCTTCTAAAATTCTCAGATATCATTTTATTTTAAAAACTGCTCACCCTGTATATAACTGATCGGAAGTATAAATGGTTTCGAGCCAGAAAGGAACCTTATCTCCATCCAAATTTGAAGTTTTTCTATAAAGCCGTTTTTGAGCTATCCCGCCAATAGACAGACATACGACAGACAGACAGAATAGTGAAACATGTTTTTCGTAATCTAGGGGCCCTAAAACCTGAAAATCTGAAATAATCTCGGAAGGTGACTTTTTCACGATTACAATACTTCCCTTTTATAGAGGGAAGTAAAAAATAACAAATTTTTTCACCATTTTGAGATCTAAATATCTCGAAAGAGAGGACCCAAATTGCAATATTTTATTAAACCTCCCCACCTAAATAGGTAATAGTACACCCTGTTAAAATATTTGAAAAACATTACGGAACACCCTGTATATTAATAAGCAGCTTCTGTCTACTTTGCAATTTACGAACTTTAAATTAAGTAAACAAAAAAAAATGTTAATTATTTTTGGACTTACGTGGAACAACTGTGAACTGTCATCTCTCGGACAAATGTCACTCTCTCCGCAAAATGGACTAACTGTGATGGTATTTTCGTCTAATGTGGGCAAATTGTCGCTGTAACCTCCATCCATGTAACGCACACCTTTGAACTTTGGTGGTATCAGCCCCGAGAAAAATGGTATAAACGCTGATGATAAAAGAACTTGTATTAGATCTTCCCTCGAGTCAAATTCTGAGACCTGAAATAAATAAAAATGCATGAGTTAGAAAAAATAGCATGTTTTAGTTGCATACGCTATTTTTTCTACGACTGTATAAATACATAAATAAGCACTGATGTAAAATATAATTCCAAAAAACTGAAAAAAATACTGTTCATAAATTTCACTTTTATTGTTTATTGGTAAGTAGGTGTGTGGTCACAGAATAGTAGTTTGTGTTATAAGGACGCCTGGCAAACTTCTCGTAGTCAAGCATAGCAAATCGTACACTTTTCGTCCGTGTTTCATACATTATTTTTTATTTGAATATGCTTATAGATATTCAAAAAATATAGAAAATTAAATCCGAAATGACATTATTTCCAATTTTTCTTATGACTCAGATGGCTGTGATCGATAAGAATAACTAGGTAAATATATTCTTGATAACAATTTAACAATTGCAGTCATGTCAATGTGTTTATGTCAAATCGATTTAGTTATAGTTTATTTAGTTTTCTCTTATTCAATTAAAAATATTTCTATTCAAATTTGATATAGATATGGATTATGGACTACTACTTTACCATTCGCGATTCAAATTAATTTTCGCGCACCTGTCATTTGTCACCTATAAGTAGGCTGTTTGTTTGTTTGTTTACATTGCATTTGTTTTGAGGGATTTTGTATTTGTGATCTTTTAACTGTCTTTAGATAACATTCTCATAATAATAGTGTTTTCGTTTAGTGTTAATATAAGTTTAGTTTCCGTACTTTCGTCATACATATAATATTTATCATGTGTTTATGACTTAATTTAGTGGAAATCTCCACCTATTGGTTGCTACACAAACATCTAAAATATTTATTTACTAAACCCAGAACATGTTTCATTATGTGGTGTAAAGGACATTTCAGGTAAGTACCAAATGTTTATTATTGATGAACTTAATTAAAAATCTTCCTATCCGTAGTCTTTTATTATGAAGTGAATGATGTGTAGTATTTTGTATAATGTAAACGGTAATTAAACTGTCACAAATCAGATTGCCGTTTGATTCTAGACCAAATTTTCAATATTGTGGATTTGTAAATTCGTAAAAAACAAAATTTTACGACTTACGCTTTGAAAATAATGAACACTTGAGTTTTGATTTTGACATTAACACCACATATTGCAATTTGCTGGGGGATTTTTCGCAAAATTAATTTTTTATAGTTCGAGAATATAGGGTACCAGGTACCCTATTCTCAAACTCAGAAGAGTGTTCCATCACCAGTGTTGCCAGATGACCAAAATCAAATTGTACCATGGTGTAGAAATTATGTTTTTTTTTTCATGATTTTATCGTACAAACTGGCCGTACTAGTGTGACGTTATCGAAGGCTGGTTAATGTAAGAGTTCATGGGGTTAAGGTTGGGGTAATTTGATAATTTTATTGAATAAACATATAAAAATAACACTAAATCTTTTCTTCTTGTTTCAAAAATAATGATTTTGATCTTCCAATTATTTTTGTCTATATATTTTTAAAGATGTGAATTTCATTTCACCTGTAGGTGTGAAACTTAAGACATCAATTACCCAAAGGATTCCCGCACTTTCCTTATGTGAAGTGACGACCGGTTAAATTTTCTGAACTTTGGTATGTTATTGTACTTAACCTAGTAACCAAAAGTGTCAATAGGCTCAACTCAATCCTATGACTGGGTGTTAAAGTTGAAAATTACTTAGATTTTCGAAATTTTTATTTTCAAAATTACGAGCTATATTGAATTTCTGTAGCATACATAAGTTTACCATATGTTTTATTATTACATTAGTGCCTATGTACAATTAAAAATATTTTTCGTTACAGGATGATTCACAATGTATAAATCATTTTACTATATTATCAGGGAAGCATATAAAAGATTTTACAATACCAATTTTTTTATACAGAGAGAACTACAACAAAATTATTTATTAATTTTTGGGAGAGGTAATCCCACTTAAATATGTGTACCTCTAAGCTTCGAAATATATAAGGTGATTTATTTATTCGAAGATATTCCATTTTTAGAAAATTTCCCCGTTAAAATGTAACTATTTTATAGTATATAATGCTTTTATCACCTTTTTATGAAATGTGAATTTTAAATTCGAGATACAGGGCGTTAAAGTGAAGAATTACCGATTTTAGTTATTTTTCTTCAAACTGAAAAGCTTAATTGACTTTATGTAGCATAATATAAGTTTAATATAAGTTTTGGTCAGATGTCCATAAAAAGAGACAGTTCAAAATATTCACGAATAAATCACACTCTATTTTTGCAATTTGCAAATATCGGAAAATGATGTATATACTGATATATTTTATAGGTAATTATAAAACAATTAAATTACCCTGTATATTTTAAAATCTAATTATTAACATATTCAAAAGTCACTAAAGAAATGTACGGCTTCTTTTCAATAATTTCTAAACAATTTGTGAACGTGTAAATATTAATTCAATGAGATAATTTTTCTGTAGCGCAACTATAGAGATATTGAGTGTTTGCAAAAATATATTGTGATTTATTCGTGAATCACCCTGTAACAATTTTTTTAAATGGACCGGACATCTCACCAAAACTTATATATTCTACACAAAGACAATCTAGCTTTTCAGTTGGAAGAAAAAATTACTAAAATCAACAATTCTCCACTTTAACGCCCTGTATCTCGAAACTGGTCATAATAAAATTATATCTCCTAAAATGGTGTTAAAATTATCATATACTGAGACTTAGCAAATTTTAGAATACAAGATGTTCGTGGTGTTTTTGTACTGTTAATAAAATAACATATCTTCCAACAAATAATCCGCCTTGTATATTTTGAAACTTAGAGGTACACATATTTTAGTGATATTCCCAAAAATAAATTAATGCATACAGGGTTTTGAATTAGTCCTTAACGAATAATTTTGTGGTTCCCACTACAAAACACCCTGTATAAGAAATGTGTACTGTGCAATATATCAAAATACCATATTGAGTAATACTTTTTGAAAATATGCTTCCCTGACGTCACAGTAAAAATAGTGAGATCTTACAAAAACTACCTTCACAGAGTTGTGAATCACCCTGTAATTAAAAATATTTTCAAATATACGTATGTAATAATATATTACTAAAACATCTATTAAACGTGTGTATGCAAAAGAAATTCAGTCTAGTTCGTAAGTTTGAAAATAAAACTTACGAAAAACTGGACAATTTTTCACTTTAACGTATATCGTACAAATACGATCATTTTCGTATGTCTGGCATCGCTGCTCTTATCATTCATGTGATTCCGGCCAAATAGTGAGAGAGTACTCGCCTACGCCTACTCGCATAGTTACAAGAATACGGCCCCAGATAGAAAAGCGTGAAAATGTATAGTACACCTTCATTCATTTATATTAGGTAATGTTGTTTCACTCTCTTGAGAGATGTATGACAAAGATTTAGTTTTTATTGTGCTTTATGTGAACAAAATATAATTTTCTTCTGGAGAGTTTATTGAATTTTTATGGATGTATGTTATATTCGGGTATGTTCCTTTTTTTAATTATTTTAGGAGCTTTTTTTATAAATCAAAAACAGTATTCATCATTAAATACGGTTGATATTGGATGTATTATCGCTGTGGTACATGGATTACCATGGCTACGAAATAAACTTCTTTCGAAATAATTATGTCAGTTATAGTCGTTGTCATCATACCCATTAATTCCCTTTTTAATAACCTAATTCACAAAGCATCTTTAAATTTCCCTACATGTAAAACCTTATAGATAAAAACTTCATTATAATCAATGTCCAATAGAAATGGGCGATATTTCACAAACTGTTACTTAATTATTTTAATCTTGGTAAACTGACATTATTTACATGTTTTGTATCGATTTTTTAAATGTCTTCCAGAACAATATTCACAAATATTTAATTAGTTAATAATTTAAAAAACTAACCTTATTTTTTAAATTTTTTGAATCACAGTAACGATTCAAAATGCGACTGAAAAATCACGCCATCGTCCAACTCTACTTTTTCTGTGAACTGACATTGACGTTTCTATTGCTAAAGATATACACGTAAATAACTGTTAAAAAAATGCTTTGTAAATACAGATGTTAATAGAATTTCGTGGTACGCTTAAATATCCAACTTATGGCGGTCCCAATTTTTGGAAAATAAATAACATGCTCCGCACTTATTTTTTTAGTAATTTAGAGTGTCATTCGTGAAATTTTAATCCTTTAGGAACATATTTGCCATATTTCTACTTACCACAACATTTTTGCCATCGTGCACCCTCGTAAGAGAGACATGTAATTTTCCGGTACACATTATATGTGCATCTTCTGGTAAGAATTTTTCTAGATTTTCTAAAAGTAGTTTATTTATGTTAAATGATGGAGAAAATGCTCCTAGAGACCGACTACGAGCTTCTGTGCAGACCCGCAGAACATCGCTGGTCATATCACCTGCAATAAAAAAAAAAACCTTAATAATATTACAATAGTAAATTATAAATCGAAAGACGAAATATTATCTTTTAATTTCATACTAATAATAGTGCTGTGCAATAATATACTTGTCATTTCTATTTTAATCAGTATGCTGTTGATTTAATTTAAGCTTTTAGATAACTAAATGAGCTCGTAATCTTGCTTGAACAATTCAAATATATGTAAACATGTCCGATCGTATTAAGAAAATAAAAAATTGCAAAATCTTTTTTAAACTACATTTTTCCATGTCTTCCGTTCTGCTCGGTAGTTTCTCAATTTAATTAAATTAATTAAACTCCGCTCAGGAAAAAACCTTTTTTTTCTAATTAGAGTGGCGTGAACTGTTAACCTAAACCACATTTTTCGTTTCATTATTACCTCCTTTTCTGATAATTTTTCTGTGCATTTTGAATCCCCTGAGTTCCGTTATTGCTTATTTATGTAATTCTTCATGATCAATTTTAATATAATAACTTTTCAAATACCTGAAATTAAAAAATTGCTGGAATCAACCTAATATCCCTTTTAGCTCTGACCATGGCCTTCAATGGCCGAAACTAGTCAACTTTTAACCTCCCTTAATATAAATAAGTGTCTAGCAAATGACTTTGTTTTTCATTCTCTAAACATTATACCACTAAAAGTAAAAGTGTATAAAAATTAGGGAATCTAGCTCTATGAGAGAAGCTCTTACTATGATAGGCTTTATTGCCGGTTGTAGTGGGTTTTTCCATTGAAAAGATTAATTGGGAAGTAAACAAGAGGGATAACAACACAAGGAAAGTTATTTAAATTATCAGACAGATGTTTTTTTGCCACCAATCTAATGATCTTTACTTAAAATGAAGATGTATCTACCAAAAGTTTCACACACGCAATACGTCACACTAACGCAGAGAAACCTCGCACGGCGCGTCTGTACCCTATTCTAATGTATGTGGTCAGAGGCGCCGTACGAGGTTTCTAAACAAATTTTTCAATAATCTTGAAGATATCCATAACCGGTTTGGGGTAATACCGCCAGAAATAATTTGGAACACGAACGAAACTGAATTAACGACGGTTCAAAAACAAACTACTCGCACGGCGCGTCTGTACCCTATTCTAATGTATGTGGTCAGAGGCACCGTACGAGGTTTCTAAACAAATTTTTCAATAATCTTGAAGATATCCATAACCGGTTTGGGGTAATACCGCCAGAAATAATTTGGAACACGAACGAAACTGAATTAACGACGGTTCAAAAACAAACTAAAATGTTGGCCTCTAAAGGGGAAAAAGTAGTTGAAAGTGTAACTTCAGCCGAACGTGGTCAGTTGGTTATTCTTATTTCCGGAACCCATATTTCCCCGATGTTATCTAAGGATTAATTTCAAAAACCTTATGCTTAGTGGTGCTCCCCCTGGGACCATTGGAGGTGCAAATCCCTCCGGATGGAGTAATGAAGACTTTTTCTGGTGTATTTAAAGCATTTTGCCTCTCATGTAAAACCTTCAAGAGACGAACGAGTGAGTGTTACTTCTTACTTATGGACAATCATTTGTCTCTCGAAGCTCTCGAATATGCGTCTAAAGTAGGTATTGTTATATTAATGATTTCCCCTCGCACGTCTTATAAGCTTCAACCCCTGGACGTTTCCGTTTATGGACCCTTGTAAACTTTCTATGGCCAGTCTATTGATGCGTGGTTGAGAAACCATCCGCTTAAAATATTTACAATGTATTACATTGCTGAAGCCTTAGGACAAGCTTACCCCCGAGCATTTACTACTACTTAGTAATATTGTTAGTGGTTTTAAAAATCCTGGAATTTATCCCTTTAATCGTGCCGTTTTTTGGAAGCAAGATTTCATGATATAATATGTAACAGATCGGCCTAATGAATTAGCACTTCCTTCTGATGTTCCTTAAGATAAAAGTTGTAATATCCGTTCATCTTCAAAGCCAATTCCGGGACCGTCCTCCCGAGAAAGAACATCTACCATTCCAAATAATTATAGTTTTGTTTCCCCGGAACTAGTTCGTCCATATAAAAAGGCTGCACACAGAAAGAATACAAAAAGGCAGAAAACCAGAAGACACCAGCATTGTGACTGGTACGCCAAAAATGGTAGAAATTAAGCAGCGAAAACAAAGTAAATCTTCCAAAGCCAAAACTACGCAAAGGGCAAGCAGGAATGTAAAACGACATGTGTTTTATAGTGATTCCGATGATCGATCAGGGACAATTTTGTGAACGATGATAGTGATTCCGATGTATTGACAGAAGAGATCACCAATTTTGAGGAAGAAAAGCAATTTATTTTGAACTCCTACGCTGTGGGCGATTATGTTCTCGTTCATTATCCTTAGAAAAAGAGTTTGACAAATTACTACATTGGAAAGATTGTCTCAAAGGATTTAACCGACAGCGAGTTTATAAGTGAATCAGTGAGTCCAAAAAATGACGTTTTGAGTTAAGATAGCCAAATTGATATTAACATGTGTCTCCACCCATTGAGATCAAAAACAGTGTAATACACATAATAGGTTCGGCAGTATAAATTACGTTGAAACTGGATGAGTAGAAGAACAGTACAAGTCTAGGACATGTACTGTTTTTACACTCATTACTGTTACTTTGAAGTTGATGTTTTAAATATTATTTTATTAGTTGCGAAAATCACTCTGTGAGAGTTGATTCTGTTAATTTTCTCTTCAAAATAGTAGCAACAACACGTTTTAAAAAAATCTTCCAATATTTTCCGATCAGAGCCACTCATTTTTGCCCTGTGATAGGGATTTGAGAGTCCTAAAAAGATGCGTTAGAAGACGCGATCGTGTATATATTCCAGAGGAATATGAGGAAATGATATTGTCATTTCGACAAATTAAACCATTTACCAATAAACAAATTACCTACGGACATATTTTAGATTTTAAAAATTAGTGGCCTCAGTTTTACAAAAAAAAAAATAAAAAAAGAAGCAATGAAGAGTTCTCTCTGTCAAATTATAGGCAGTTTGTATATGACACCAGTGGATATGTGAAAACTTATGAATATATAGGTGGTCTAGTATCTCATAGCTTTAAACTAATGAAGCAAAATAAAAATTGTCCACCCCTTCCTACCAAATGCGCATACGAACAACAAATTCCAATAAATGTAAAAAAAATAAATACCGTAAAAAAGGTAATGCAATATATTACAGGAGAATTGCTGGAATTTTACTATCACGTCACCTCCTGGCCCCACATTTGCAACCCATGAAACCGAAGAAGTGGATGCTGAGTGGTGGTGGGGGCACCCCAGACCCCCCCCCCCACAGCTACGTGCATGTGTTTTGCAATAATATGTTATAATAGTTTATTTGTCAACCTTGCATTATTTATAAAATAGAGGCTACTAAAACTAAAATATAAACTATATAATTGACTTAAAAAACAGTACATGTCCACAATATAGTTTTGTAATGTCCGGTGCATCTGTAAAAAACTTCCGCAAATCGTCTTCCTCGAATACATATGCCTTCTTGACTATCTCATTTTTGCTAATTGCCTTCATGAATGCATGCACTTTGACGAACGATTTTATATCGACCCCTTTGTTTATCCTCAACATACTTTGTAATTTTGAATGGATAGTCCACATAGTCGATACTTTATACTGTTCCGACATTTTCTGGAGATAAGCGAGAACAACTCGTTCATCTATATGTGTAACCATTTGCTCTTCCATCCACGTGTTGAATCTATTGTATTCTTTTTTATAAACCGCTTCGGATTTTTGTGGTATTTAGCGCGATTCTACTTTATTATTTAAATACTCAATATTTGAACTCATTTTAAACAATAACTGTTGCGACAATTAATCTTACGTGACAGATTGAAAATAAATTTTTGTTTGTCTCGTTTTCATGACAACGAGGTATACTGATGTTACATCACAAATTCAACCATTTTCAGTTATTAGATTTTTTTTTTAATTTGGTGTCATCGACGTCGACTACTACGGCCATTAGCCTCGTGTTCTGTGTAGGCTTTGTTACTGTTCCCAGCGCCACTTTAGGAACAGCACTGTTAATTAGAACCCAACAGTGAATGGTCGAGTGGGGAATCCTACCAAGGCATCAGAATTAATTTTAAATAATTAAATTAAATGAAAAAATCCCGGCCAACGGTGGGATTCGAACCTGAGACCTTCCGATCTCAAAGTCATGACTCTAACCACTGAGCCAACCCCCTCCCCAGTTATTTCCATTTTTTTGTAGAAATAATACCAATATTTAGGATTTTAAAGTATACCAATAAAAAAAAATAGCGTAAAGTATTCATGGATAACTGGTCTTTAAAACACTTGCTCTATTTCGAGCACTCCGGCTGCGCTGTCGTGCTCGAAAAATCGCGCGTGTTTTAAAGACCGTTATATCCACTTATACTTTAATATACTATTAAATATTTCAGATACAGACCCTGTTTAATAGTTGAAACACACATACTTTGATTACTATACGAGGCAAGAGAGTGGTCCGACACGCCCAACATAGGGCGAGGCCATTTTGAACCCTGTGACACAGTTTACAGCTAAAGAATCAGATCGCTCACTCTGCGTCGGCACTTTTGATCTCAATGTTTCAGTTTATACACTGTGCAACTCAGATAATACAATATATGACAACCGCCTATAATAAAACAGTAGTCTTCTGCGTATTCTGAATTTGTATCCCTGGAGTGGATATTTTGGAACTTTCAACTGGTCCGAGTGAGCTAACTGATTCTTTAGCAATAAACTGTGACTTCAAAAATAATATTCACCGACACTGACAGCAGCAAGCAAAATATCAGGTGCGTTTTAATCATCCGCTTCTGCTTCCGGAATTGTCGGTTTAGTCGTTTTAACCTGTCAGATTAAAACAAGAAAACCGACAATTCCGAGGCAGAAGCAGAACGGAAGTATTACAAAAACATTCCGAGTTACAACAGTCTCCCCTATCT